TTTAGCAAAAGCCGCCAAAGTTATAAAGTTAAGTTTAAAAAAATTCCCAAAATTACGTTTTTACCCACAACGAAGGACCCAAAATACAAGTTAATTTTACCCAAATATTTAAAATATTCGTGGATAAATTCTCTTTTTAAGAGTTTTTTCAACCTCTTCAAAAAATATTTTTTTATAAACTATTTAACATGATGAATTAATACATCCATTTACAATCATTAACTAATGTTTGGTAGATTAAAAATTATGAGGTTTCAATTTTTTTATGCATATATTCGAAGACATTTTTTTTAATTGCTTTAAATCCAAAATGGTTATATTTTATCGAACGGCTTATACATTTTGCTATAGCGTTTTTTGCACACGAGAAACTTTGATGTAAATATTTTTGTGGTTAACCTATAACTGCTTGTTTATAATTACCTTCTGCTTCATCGAATTATCTTGTAACTCAAGGGACACCGCGTTTTCGGCTAAAGAGAAATTTTGATGAAATTTATTTTGTAGTTAGCATATCCCTTCTTATTTACAATTAAGGCCTTGAATAATTTTTTTTGATGTAAACCTATTCTTTCTATATAAAGATTGATTACTGAAAAAAATCAGAATTAAAAATTTGTTTATAATGCGAAAATTCGTTAAAGTAAAAAATTAAAAATTCGTAATTTTTTGTATTCTTTCTAACATCTTTGCATGCTAATATTTTATCGCGGCTTAACAACATGTAAAATTTAAAAGTATTTAAATCACGCGATATTTTGGGTATATTGAAGTTACGCTGTTAGTGTGCTTCGCGAAAAAGCTCTTTTTTTGAAAGTTTCACGTTTATTTTTCCAATATTTAAGCTTCCACAGTGCTATCTTCTAAAGCACATTTCTAAATTTTGTATAACCGAAGAGCCGCAAAATTTACAGTGTCTCACAGAAATATTCGAATTTATTATTTTTTATGAATTACTGTGTTATTGTATGATGCTACTTTAAAAATAATAATAGTATTTAAATTTTTTTAATGAAATTTTATTAATTTATATTATTTCTACGAAATACAAGAAAAAAATAATAAAAACTCATTAATGGTTTCCAAGAAAATGGAAAAAACCCAAAAAGGGTAATTTCAGGTACTGCGCAAAAATATTCGAATTTTTTCTAAGAAGTTTTTTAGAATCCTTGAACACGTGTTTTATTGCCCATTAATTAACCCATTATGCAGGTAGTGGTTATATGGAATATTTAACATTATATTTTTTGGAAATTTCCATAATTATGTTGTAAACCCTTCCTGTATAAGCGCTTAAAATGTTCAAAGAGAAAGAGTTGATCAATTCAAATTAAAAAATTAATTTATATCTGTATAATCAAGGCCGATCAATTAAATACATATAGGAAATGGTTAATAGATTCCAATATATTTTGTCATTACACGCATGGAACAAAGAATTCCATCGAGTATTTACCATTATCAAGTCGTCCAAAACTGCTGTACAGGACGACAGAGAAATACTGAGGAAATACCGAAGGAACCTTCATCTATCAGCTCCAAAAATTAACAACGAACTCATGACAGTCCTGTGAATAAAAATTAGTGTCGAAATTGTGCGCAAAGTACTAGGGAGCAATAATTTGCATGGTCAAGTACCAAGGTGGAAACCGCTCATATCGAAGTTAATCGATGTTAAGTGTCTTGACTCCGCAAATAGTCTCATAAGTAAGAATATTGGATCCTGGAAGGAGGTTATCTTGGACGATTAGAACAAATATAATATTTTTGGGTCAGATGGTCGTCAAATGATATGGCGAAAGCTTGGAGATGCCTTGGAATTATCTAACTTAAAACCAACTGTAAAGGACCCAAGTTGCTCTGCCATATTTTGGGGCTCTGTGTCCGTCTACGGTGTTCGACTGCTAAAATTTATTATTGTATTATAGACTAGAAGGTCCACTTGTCAATTTTAGAGCAGAATTTGCATGCTAGTACCACCAAAATGGGGCTACAACCCATTCAATTTATTTTTCAACAGAAAAACTATCCAAAATACACAACCTGGTACGTGAAAATGTTGATCATTAACGACACTAAGTATCTTCTTTCACCAAATTTTCAATGGAGTTAATGTCTGGACTTAAACTCCATTGAAAATTTGTGGTTATATTTACAAGAACAACTTTTAAATCACTCATTATCCTCTAAAACCACCATAGGGTTGCTTTGCATGAAGAATGGGACATAATAACGCCAGAACTATTCCATAAATTGGTAGAAACGGTCCCACGACGCACAGTGGTATAGGAAAAAAAAAGAGGGAAATAATTCGGTAACTTCTAAACGGTTAATCCGATTTTGATGAAATTTGGTAGGTGTTGTCGAGTTTAGGTTTTGAATTTGAACCTTATAGGCCAACCAGGGGCCCGGCGGGGGGTCCTCAAATTAGGACACCTCGGCTAAATTAAATTTTTAAAACGATCCTATTTCTTCATTTGAGTTCCGATTAAAAAAAAATTTCGTATATAGAATCTCCTAGCAGTAAATTATCTCTTATAGTTTAGGAGATATTCGCATTTGAAAATTAAAATTTTAAAATTTTTACCGACCTTACTTTAGTTTTTTGATAATAGCGGGTCCAAATATTCTCGATTTTCGCCATTTTTTTTTATTCTCTTAACAACAAGTTTATATATCAAGCAGTGAAAGAATTATGTAAAAATCATGACTGAGTCCAAAGTTATAGGCATTTTAATTTAAAAAATTAAAAAAAGGCGATTTTTTGTCATTTTTTGGGAAAAAAGTATCTTTTTCTTTTTAAGTTATCTAAAAAGTTTCTAAGAAGATGTATATAGAATTTATACTTTTTGGAAGGCTGACTTTACATAAAATACGATAAATGAAACAAAACCTAAAAATTTTTGATACCGAGGGGACCAGGTCCATCCACAAAAAACCCTATTTTTTATGGAAAATTCAATTTTGAGCAAAAATTCTAAAATCGCATAGTCGATATCAAATTATAGTGACCTGTTTTATATGACCCAATATGTTCTTAATCATTTTGTAACGGGTTTCGATAACCCCGCCCCTGGTATGGATATAATAGGCAAAAAACCAAAAAATCCCATTTTTGGGATTTTTTAAAACTTTTTTGGGAATTCCGGGATTTCTAATAAGAAAATTCGAAATTTTTATTTAATTTTGGATTTTGTGTAAAAAAATCTACCTAACTGTAAAATTTCATCAAAAAATATTCATAAATAACATTTTTATTGCAATTTGAAAAATTTTTTATCTTCGCAAAAACTGAATAAAAAACATTTTTTATTATTTTTTTTAAAGTATTCCGCGAATTTTTTAATTATCAAAAATTATATACAGTTTTGAAAAATAGACAAAATTACCTTTCCATTGATATATAACTTGCCTACCTAATGTTTTTTAAGTGACAAATTAATTAGGGAAAACTCAACATCTTTTAGAAAATTTACCTAGCACTATTATTTTCATCCATAAGGTTAACTCTCAAATTTGTTACATATATGGATGAAAATAATAGTGCTAAGTAAATTTTCTAAAAGATGTTGAGTTTTCCCTACTTAATTTGTCACTTAAAAAACATTAGGTAGGCATGTTATAATCAATGGAAAGGTAATTTTGTCTATTTTTCAAAACTGTATATAATTTTTGAAAATTAAAAAATTCGCGGAATACTTTAAAAAAAAAATAAAAAATGTTTTTTATTCAGTTTTTGAGAAAATACTAATTTTTCAAATTGTAATAAAAATTTTATTTATGAATATTTTTTGATGAAATTTTACAATTTGGTAGATTTTTTTACTCAAAATCCAAAATTAAATAAAAATTTTGAATTTTCTTATTAGAAATCCCGGAATTCCCAAAAAAGTTTTAAAAAATCCCAAAAATGGGGTTTTTTGGTTTTTTGCCTATTATATCCATACCAGGGGCGGGGTTATCGAAACCCGTTACAAAATGATTAAGAACATATTGGGTCATATAAAACAGGTCACTATAATTTGATATCGACTATGCGATTTGAGAATTTTTGCTCAAAATTTAATTTTCCATAAAAAATAGGGTTTTTTTGGATGGACCTGGTCCCCTCGGTATCAAAAATTTTTAGGTTTTGTTTCATTTATCGTACTTTATGTAAAGTCAGCTTTCCAAAAAGTATAAATTCTATATACATCTTCTTAGAAACTTTTTAGATAACTTAAAAAGATACTTTTTTCCCAAAAAAATTACAAAAAATCGCCTTTTTTTAATTTTTTAAATTAAAATGCCTATAACTTTGGACTCAGTCATGATTTTTACATAATTCTTTCACTGCTTGATATATAAACTTGTTGTTAAGCGAATAAGAAAAAATGGCGAAAATAGGGAATATTTGGACCCGCTATTATCAAAAAACTAAAGTAAGGACGGTAAAAATTTTAAAATTTTAATTTTCAAATGCGAATATCTCCTAAACTATAAGAGATAATTTACTGCTACGATAATTAGTGCTCGCTGAGGAGATTCTATATACGAATAAATCGGAACTCAAATGAAGAAATAGGATCGTTTTAAAAATTTAACATAGCCGAGGTGTCCTAATTTGAGGACCCCCCGCCGGGTCCCTGGTTGGCCTATAAGGTCCAAATTCAAAACCTAAACTCGACAACACCTCCTCTTTGTGCATACCAAATTAATCAAAATCGGATTAACTGTTTAGAAGTTACCGTATTATTTCCCTCTTTTTTTTCCTATACCACTGTGCGACGCTTGGAAGTTGTTTTTAAAAACAAGGGCTATTATACAAAACATTAATTTCATTTTAATTATTTATTTTTAAAAAAAAGTTAAATTAGTTTATGTAAATTATTATTTTTTAATTTTCAAAATGTGGTATAAAATTTAAGGACTGTCTGGACAACATAATAAATTTATTTATTTATTTTTCCCACAAAATCTATTATAAAATGATGTCTGTTTTCATAATACATTAAATTCGAATACTTATGAGAGACACTGTATATAAAAAAACTGAAAGTTTTGTGAAATCGTATAAATTTGGTTTGGTTTGCGACCACGTAATTCTTTACTTATAATTCGCACAACAATTAAATATTGACTATAGTCATTCGTGACAAGTGTATACTGTCTTCATTAGCAAAATGAATTTATCATTTGTAAGCCGCCCTCATAATATGCAAAAGTTGTGAAAAAAAAACTTGATGATTTCAATCAGATTTTTGAGAAATTTTGACTTTAAGTGTTTATTTCTCGAATTTGGAACTACTCTCGACCACAAAATTTTATGGACGTATTCACTCAAGTCTTGTGAATAAAAATTCGTAATCACTTAATTTTCAAAATATTAAACGAAAGAAATATTTAATGCATAAAGTCGATTTCTTAAAATCTAGAACAAAAAAATAATTTCGCATTAAAAGAAATCGGAATTCCATTCCGATCGAATGTGGATTTTTCAGTATTTTTCTTCTGCAGAAAAAATAAAACAAATGCTAAAGGGGTTTTACATACAATAATTTGTATTAATATTATGTAATACGAAATCAAATTTGTTGTCAAAATGTATTGAGCCATTTTCAGTCATTTATTATGAAAAATATTTTTTTTCGTTTATTTTCAATTTGAAATGAATTATGGTAAAAAATAAAAGAAAAATTAATTTACAAACTAAAACCCAAAAAAAATTTAAATAGTGTATTTTATAAAAATAAACTGATTTTAAAAAAATTTTAAAAGCTCAATGTTTTAGATTTTCAGACTACAATACATTTTCAAATAATAAGTACTTTGTATTAACACAAAATCACATAATGTAAAGTAAATGGCATCAACGTAGCATTACGCAATCACAACAAAAATTTATTGAAATTTCTTCCCATACCCATAATTCAGTATAATCGGAATCAAATTCTTCTAATATAACCATAAGCAATTTTTCACTAATCCGAATGCATGATCCATTTTTTCTTTTCAATATTTTTATAGTAAACGATTTAGCTTTGCAGTTGAAATGACCGTACCAACATTTCTTTGAAATGCACTCAACAGTACGTATATATCTAGGAAAATAATGTAGACCTAAATCTATCCATGCAAGCTTAGAGGAGCATTCCCATGGTCGAGTTTTAAATACATCAGGCTTTGCGAAGTTGCGATCATTAAAAATATTTCTAACGCGTACGCTTCTCTGTTTTAAAGTTGACTCTTTTTTCTTTTCGTAAAAGTTCACATGTTCCGTTTCCCAAGCTGGAAAATCTCCTACGGATACAACATCATCATCAGCATAAAATGGTAATTCGTAAGAAGAGCGTTTGCTACTAGCATCGTGATTAGATGATGGTGGTTCAATGCTCATATAACGAGGATTAAATGCCTGCCCATGAATTTTGGTAAGTGATTTTGTAGATAATTGTTTGCAATAATTCGTAGATATTATTTTAAACCCAAATCCCATAACCAGATACAAATTCAAAATATATTTCATTTGTTCTATTAAAAAAGAGCTTTTGAATACTCAATGTTCTCGATTACTTGGTATTTTAATTATCAAACAGTGTGACCAACACATCTGTACTCAAAGTGTATTTATTAATAAAGTGAAAACAGTAATTGTTGGGAACAAACCTCTACAACAACCACAAGCAATTGTTTTTTTATTCAGCAACCGATTTGTTAAAAATTGCCTATTGTATTGAATTGATTTGTATCTGTTAAAGGTGTCAAAATTTTCCTTTGGTTTTTACGTATGTCCAGATAGCAAAGAAAAATAGCAACGGCAGAGAAAAAATCGAGTTTTTGGGAATTAAGTGGCAAACCACAGGGGAAAAATAAATTACATAGCAAATAAAAAATACCACGGAATACTCAATGGAAAGTGGTGGTGGTATAAAATTAGATTCCTCTAAAATGGTCAGACAAATCGTTGCTGGTAAACTGTATAGGATCTAAGAAGTGTCGCGCCAAAGACTCTTTGGAATATGGTAGGAGACATGGTAAGGTTTGAAAAAATCCTTAAGACCCAAATAGACTACACAAGCGGCTTATCAAACATACTTTTTTCATTCGCACACACACTACACAAACATTGCTCGTACAAACACCGATTTTTTTCATGTTTTTGCGGATTTGCAAAGATACATACAGTGAATCAACTAAATATACATACAGTGAATCAACTTTTTTTAAGAGAATTTTGTTTTTTGTTTATGTTTTCCAATTGAAAATAGAGATTGTGTAGAATGGGAAAACCAAGAAAAAAATATTAAAATAAAAATTTTGTTGCATTTGTTGTTGCATTTTATTATTTTTCATTACAATTTGCACGTCAATAAAGTATTTTGCATATTGAAAATTCCAGTTAATTTCGTTGGGTTTTTCAAATTATTTTTTAATTGCTTTTTGGAATTTATTGTTTTATTGTTAAAAGGACACGTGTTAAGTATTTTTCAATTGTAATTTTCAAAAATCATATCCTTATTGTGTGAAACTGTGTAGTTATTTGCGTTAAAAATGTTCAAAGGGAAATAATGAGGCAATTCCAATATAAAAAATTAGTTTAGATTTTTAGAACAAGTGTAAATCAATGAAATTCAATTATGAGATGTTTAATGAATCATTAAAAAATATAAAATATAGAAATTGATGAAATAACACAAAGAATTATTAAAAAACACGCACTGAGTTGCCTTTCAAAATCTTTAACTGCCAAAGGAGAGCGACTTGTATCCAAGCAAAAACCATTGAAGCCCTCATTTATCTTCTCCAAAGTCCATATACGAACTTAAAAAAAAAAAACACTATGTTTAAATTTAGACCTCTAAACAGACCTTAGGTTGCTTGGAAACAATGTAATGTGAACTGTTGTATGGTACAGTAAAAATACTTAATTTAGATACATATTTACAAATAGAGGCGGTTCTCATCACCTAAGGTCCACAAAAGCAATATTTTTCAGCTAATACATACACTTATATATAGTTAGAACCCAAATCAAGAATAACTATCCAGATCCAACTACGCCTATTGTATTTTATTTATAAAATAAAGCATTCAAAATATGAGGTAGAAAATCAAGATTTTAGCATGTGGTATACAGTGATATCCCCATACTTAGAGTGGCTAGGATGGTACTTAGTGTTAGCTTTATTGAATAAGAATCAATATTATACAATTCTAAAAAAAAATCACACAGTACTCCCCAAATAGATGGGGTTTCCGTAATGTAGTTTTTGTTTATCAATACAAAATGACCAAAAACCCAGATTATTTTGTTAAAATATGTAGTTTCATACCCCACTAAACATTTTTTCTAGGTCCAAATCCACTGATTTCTAGTATATCATGTATTCTTTTCAAAATTACTTATTTTCGAAATAAAATGAAAGAAACGATAGATTTCATGTTAAGTCAAATATTGATAAATTCTTATAGGTATAAAGGATAATAAATCGGTCAATGAAATGTCCAAATTTAGTCGTACCACTACTTAAATATCTATAAAATTTTATTTTAATAAAAATGTAAAATTGTATAAAATTATACAGCAATATTAAAAAAATAAACAAAAAACCTAAAAAAGCAAAATACTTTATTGACCTAAAAAATTAACAATACGTTCACATTTTATCAAAAATCTCGTTAGTTAATATCACGATTTAACTTTTTTTGGTAGAAAATTAAAATATAAGATATTATTTAAAAAACACAACAAACAAATTGCTTAACTTTGAAAAAAAAAATTGTTCAGACAAAGTTTTTTCTTAAAATTTATAAAATTTTACATAGGCAAATTACTTAATTGATTCACTGTACATATGTAATTTTTTCTTAGAAATGGAATTTTGTGAAAATTTTGTTATTAATGAATATAAACAATACAAACTGTTTGAAAAAAAATTCAATATGTTTGTGTAAAGATCAATTTTTTTTATTTTTGTACAAACAAACAGTAAGCATTTGTACAAACACGAAACACCCTCATACACTACACAACAGGCTTGCACAAACGTAAAATATTGGTATGTTTGTCAAGCCGCTTGTATAGTCTATTTGGGCCTTTACGTGCAAATAATCGGTAGAGTAGATCCTTGGAAAATTGGTTTCTTCCAAAATGGTCAGTAAAATCGTTGCTGGTAAACTGTATACGAACTGAAGAGTGTTGCTCCAAAAACTCCTTTTAATATGGTAGGAGACATTGTAAAGATCGAAAAAAACCTTCCTAGGAAGAAATCGGTAGAGTAGATCCTTGGAAAATTGGATTCTTCCAAAATGGACAGTAAAATCGTTGCTGGTAAACTGTATAGGATCTAAGAAGTGTCGCCCCAAAAACTCTTAGAAATATGGATTAAAAAATCCTTTCGTGCCAAATATCTGCCGGCTAGATTTACGTTTTGTTTTAATTATTGAAGTGGCAGAGTCGTATTTTTAGTATTATTTATGAAAAAGAAGAGTTGCATCACAAATAACATTAATATTTTTAATTTTAAAGGAGATTTAAATTTTTCTAATATTTATCCATATTGTGTTTGATATAAAAAAATAGAAAAAAATATATTAGAATTTTATTTTATTTATATTAAAAAATTACATTAACTTTTATTTTAAATTAATTTTTCATTAATGTTTTCCTATTTATACCCCATTTACACTGCATCGAAATCTAATCTAATAGATTTCAATCGAAATCTTTCTTCAAATCTAGACCGTTTACACTTCGTATTTTTGATATTTAGGAAGATTTCATTTTTTCTAATATTTCTCCAAATTGTGAAAAATTAGAATTAAATATGGAAAATTTACTAGAATTTCATTCATAATAAAAAATAGATATTTAGATATTACATTACCTTCTATTTTAATTTAACTTTTCAGTCATGTTTTCCAATTTATTAAAATTTTGTCGACATTTTGATTTTTCTTTGTTTTGTTTTTCTCTTTTTTCTTGAGCAGCGTCGTATTTTTAGTATTATTTTTTTTAAAGAGAAGTAACACTAGGAATTAATGCCTATAAATACATAGACCGTGTTACTTTCTTTGGAAAGGGATAGAGTAGAGGAGAAAGGTGATGAAAGTGAAGGATAGAAGTAAGCTTTTATTTACAACTCTGTAATTGCACGTTATGTTTATTTTGAGAACAGTGTTGCTGCGCCTCTGGTGTTGAGTAGGTGCATTCGTTTAAGCTTTTTTTGTTTATAGCCAATTTGTATTTATTTTACTTCGGCGACGATTTAATGCTATAGAGTATACCGCCGAAGCAGCTGGGGATCGAACCAAGGGCTCGCTAACCAAATCATGCTTAGTGATCAACGTGCTACAGCACCCTATTTAGGAAGATACAGCACCCTATTTAGGAAGAAACAGAGTTGCATTTCTATTTTTACTAGATTTTAAGTATATTTTGCCGAAATATACTAATGAAGTAGATTTTCTTTTGTATGGGTAATCTAGTTAAAATTTATTTAGAAAAAACAGAGCTGCACTATTAAAAAGATTTTGCCGAAATAAAATTTCGAATTAATTTTTTTTATGGAAAATCTAGATTTAGGTCGAAATCTAATAAAGCTGTGTGCCAAACGGTAGCAAAGTACTATGGTAAAATAAAATTTTGTTATGGTGGAAAATATCACTTTTGCTGTGCCAAACAAAATCTTTTTTGATTACATGAAATTATGACAATCGTCATTATTTTCACAAGAAAATCTTATATTATGTATTTATTTTAATAATTGATTTTTTATTATTTTATTTAGGAAGATACAGCACCCTATTTAGGAAGAAACAGAGTTGCATTTCTATTTTTACTAGATTTTAAGTATATTTTGCCGAAATATACTAATGAAGTAGATTTTCTTTTGTATGGGTAATCTACTTAAAATTTATTTAGAAAAAACAGAGCTGCACTATTAAAAAGATTTTGCCGAAATAAAATTTCGAATTAATTTTTTTTATGGAAAATCTAGATTTAGGTCGAAATCTAATAAGGCTGTGTGCCAAACGGTAGCAAAGTACTATGGTAAAATAAAATTTTGTTATGGTGGAAAATATCACTTTTGCTGTGCCAAACAAAATCTTTTTTGATTACATGAAATTATGACAATCGTCATTATTTTCACAAGAAAATCTTATATTATGTATTTATTTTAATAATTGATTTTTTATTGATTTTTTTATTATTAAAATAAATTTCTACAATCACAAATGTATTATAAACTAAAATTATAAAATATTTTATTTTTTGGATTTTAAAATTTTTCTCTTCATTTGTCAAAAATTTAGGTAGCCCTATGAGCTAGTAAAATTTTATTCACCTCAGATCTATAAAAAATTTACATTTTCAAGTAAATTATTACCGATTGGCACACACTCTAAGTACTAGATTTCGAAAAATTGTAAGTGATTAAAAGCTCATTGGTATAAACGAGAAATTGATAGTTGTCTTGCCAACGTTTGTGTGCCTACATTAGACAAATATTTATTATGCTAAACGTCTAATTGTTATCATAATAAAAAATTAACAGGTACAGACGGCACTTATTAGCGTTATAGGATCGTTATGACAATGTCGTCTAATCAAAGTTTGTCTTGATAACAAACGTAATTGTATTGTAAAACTTGCATAGAATTTTGTTTTTGAACAATTAAAATTGAATTTTAACATGAGTTTTAATGAAATTAGTGCTTATTTACAAAATTTTATATTTAATTTTAATTGTTTTTTAAAAATATATCTCAGTAAA